AGCAATATCACCTCCTACTGTGACCAACTTGGCAGGACGCTTATGAAACGCATTCGCGAGACGCTTTCTGGGTAAACAAACACAACAATAATAATAATACGCCTGGCTGGACACACAGTGTCATTAAAAGCCCCCTCCTAGTCTGAAGTTCGTACGCCTCTTCCCGCCACTTGGTGACACAATCGGCACTCGCTTCACTCGCTCGATCCTGAGCATCTCGATCCTGAGCAACTAACAGATGATTCACTCTGATCCACAGCACCGCACAAGGTTCGGTAATAAACACTGATGAGGCGCCAGATAAGCAGTTACGCATATATGCTCACCCACACACACACACGCAGCATACTGGTAACAGTCACTCTTGGCGAGTGGTGGGATCATGTGCAGATGAGTCACGGGAAGGTGTGTGTGTGCGTGACTAATCGCCACTGTCTCACACTCTCACGTTTCCATAACGTACATACGTTGAACTTCTTTCGCACCGTACGTATCCAACTCTGCGAATCGGAGGTACGGGAAAAGTATAACAAACTAAACAGAAAAAGCGGTTTGAAAGCAATGAGTTTGTCAATCGAGATGATTTCAAAGTGCATAGACTCCAGTGGCTTCCTAATATCGGAAGGAAGAGCGTTCCAGACGGCCGCAGAAACGCGTCTTAAAGCGCCGCGCGATGCGGTGACCGTCATTGTTCGACGGTCATCCAAAATCCGCGGCGAGGATGGCCGGGGTTTGCGGGAAAGACCCACCTGGAAATGATGACGCATCGACGCTTTGATGCATCAGACGGAAGATTTACAATCACGTCGAAACGCCATGTCGCGGCCAAGGCAAAAATAAATGAAAGACATATACCTAATTTAATCGCGGGCAAGAGCCCCCTAAGATTACGTGAACTGTCTGGGGGCTCGATTCATACGGAGTTTATTATGATTATTATTATTAATGATTTTGCAGAATTCCGGCACAAGACAAGAATTCCACAAAACGCGCAGGAACTAGTCCGGTTGTCACCATCGCATCGCCGCAAGAGACGGCATCGGCTTGGGGGAGGGGCGGGGGGGGGCCTTCATCCGGCAGTGGATAGACCATGGAAGATGCTGACGAGGACAAAACTCGCCGGTCCAAGTGTAGGTATGGCAGCTAAGACTTCTGCAAGTTCATCGCAAGAACAGCCTCTCGTCTCTTTTAATTAACACAGTGGGAATGACGGGTTTCCTTAGCTTCACAAGCTGGGCAAGTCAGCCAGCGTTAATTAAATCCGGCCCCCAAGTGTAGTGAGTTAATGGTCTCAGAACGGTCACCGATTGGTTGAACAAAAAATTGCACGGGCTTTTGGTTTTCATTCGTTTCACCTTAAGCCAGTTGCTATTGTCTGCTCTGCGAAGATGGCAATGGATGAGCGCACTCATCTGCACCGGCTCCACAGTGCAGTCGAGCGAATGCGACCAGACAGACCGCTGCAGGATGCAAGGGGAACGCGGCTGAAGGTCCCCAAGATGCATTTGAAGGTCGCTTCTATAGCAGGGGGGGGGGAAATGAATCCTTTTGGCGCAGGTTCCCATCGCTCGGTTAGTGTCGAAATATAAATATGTAATTAAGCTTTTAAATTAATCAACCAGAACATATTATAAAAAGCATAGCTTTGCAACACTGCAATTACCACGTGCGGTGCACCAACAGCGAGTGCCGTCATCACTGAGCGCCAACGTGGGCCCGGAGTCGTTCGTAATTACAGTCTCAGTGTGCAGAGGAATTCCTCCTCTCCCCCCCCTCCTCTCCCCCCCCTCCCCCCTCCTCGCAGCCTCCACGGACGACGGCGCCTCTCCTCGACACGCGGCCACAACGTCGCGCGCTTTGCAAATCCACGCCGGACCGCTGTCGCCCCGTTGCTTTCAGAGCGCCGGGCCGACTCGCGTCAACGGGCCGTGAGTCGCTGGCGATCCCTTGAGAGTCTCGACGCCGACGGAGAGCTCGCGCCGATCCGCTCCGTCCCGTCTCGCCGAGCGGCGTGCGGCCGCCCGCCCCGGCGGACCGCGGCGAACGATCCGCAACCCCACGGACGTTCGCTGCCGCGACTGCACCGCACGCAAGCCTCGCGATACGGCGGTACGGCCGGCCGCGGGCTCCGCCGCGGGCTCCGGCCACAAGGCCTGGAGCCGGCTACCGACGGAGGACGTTCGGGATGCCACCGCTGAGTCGGAGCCAGCTGTCGCGACGGAAAACGGCGTTGTCGTTCCAAAGAGCTGACTCGGCGAGGAGATTTCATGATGGGACCGGACTCGAGTGGCGAGAGGGCGCAACATCAAAAGTGTCACGTTGGCTCATCCGGCGCGGCGTTGGGGAGGGGTGGCCTGGATAAACTAAAACACACCAATAATGCCAACCCACGTGCGTTAGAATATCAAAACCCCCGACGCATCGCTGACCAATGCGGAGCGTACGTACGCTCCGCAACGCTCATCGGGAATTCCAGACTGCTCAGTGGCAAGGAATTAATCGTGCGACTCCCGTGAGCGGATACCAGCTGCGCGTCGTTTTGAGCAGACGTGCCCCGATCGTGGAGGCGGGAAGGCATTGTTGAGCCATGAAACATACACACCCCCCCCCCCCGACTTTACGAGGATATAATTCCGAATTCATTGACCATTAGACAGGCAGGTTAATGTAGACTTTGAACGTAGTTTGTTGAAATATGCCACAAATCTCCGTGTGTTTTCATCTCGTACGCCATCGGGGGTTCCGACTTTGTTCCACGTGCAAAGGTGCTTTTGCACGCGCAACGGTCTTGACACTCGGCGAGACTTTCCTGGGCACTATATAACGCTCCGTTACGATCCACAGCCACGCACGCCTGCGGCAACCAGTGGCTAAAACATGGGGCCAGGACTTCCGATCCATCATCCTTAACCTAATATAGGCATCATCCACTCCTACCGCTACCATTACATCATAGCCACTATGAACACACTGCGAGACCAAGGTAGCCACCGGGCCACGGTACTTGCAACACCGCCGCCCTGAATGAGCGCTCACCAACGGCGAGTTTCCCAACAGTGTACGCAGGATAAGAAGCCGGTGTCAAGAAGCGCACACCGCGCGCGATTAGCCCCTTGCATAAACAGGGCCCCCGGGGGCTCTCCGCCCCGGACGTGAGAAGCCACGCCGTTAGCTCCCCAGGGGAAACTCGCGCACGTCAGAGCGGCATTGCACACGCTGGGCCGCTGAGAACGGCGAGCGTGGCTCGGGCAGGGACAGAATGCCGGCACAGAAGGGACGATGGTCAGAGGGGGTCGCGATCCAACAGCGGAGAGGCCGCCAGCGGAGTAAGTCCGCCGTGGAGACGGAGCGACGGAAGCAACCGGACGGATCGTTATTCGTCCAGGACTGTCGCCGATGGGATACGGCTTGGAGAGGCATTTGCCCAGCAGCGGATTTCCCTGCAAAGGGGGAAAGCCAAACGCCTCTGGGGAACGGGCGTCTTACCCGGCGGGCACGCTCCACGTGGCTCGCTGGCGGCGAGCCACGGCGCATGTGACTCAAGGCCGCTCTGTGAAGGAAGCGAGCGGATGTAGAGTGGGATGGATGGGGGGGGGGGTGGTGAAGTCTCAATACCCGTGGGGGATGGAGGGGTGGGGGAGTGGCCTCACCATGGTGAGTAGCGCGTGGAGGAGGATGTGGCTGCCGCTGCCGCTTTAGTCACAGAGAGGTAATCATCAATTCTCTCCAGAAGCGGTGGCGCCGCGGTCTGCGTCTTGGGATAAAAATATGCACTGTGGTGGCGGCGAGCAGGCGGGGTTGAGCAGGGGGGAGGGTGAGTGGTGGGTGAGTGGTGGGTGAGTGGGAGGGTGAGTGGGTGGGTGAGTGAGTGAGGAGTGGAAGCGGAAAGGACTCAGAGACGCTGTCCTACAAAGACAAAATTCCCCCGTAGAGACTCAACAGACCGTTGGGGCAAGCGGTGTTAGCGAGGAGCACCTCCGAAATCCGGCAACGGCACACGAGGGGGTGGGTGGCCAGCACCGCCTTTGTCTCCCCAGTGGCGACGTTTAGACGACCGCACCGTGTGCCCCCCTACGGGGCGACATCGGCCACGTGCATCGGAATAAACGTCGGCAAAGTGGAACAATGGACAGGAAAACTGACGAGGGGGGGAGGGGGGGCGGCGACGGGTGCCCCCCGGCGGTGGGGGGGAGAGAGCGCGAGACCACTCCTGGCGGGGCACGGGGGAAGGCCAGCGCAGTGGGCGAGCACCTGCGCTAGCGCACGTCAGCCTGCCACGTGCTCCGCTCGTACTGCGTGCTGGACATAAATTGTAAGGACGCACTCGTTACACGCAAAGTGCTTGCCAAATTACCTTGCTGATCCTGTGAGGGAAGCATAAACCATCGCGCCAAATCCAGCTTTTGGCGAGCCAGCGAACAAAGGCGGTGGTCACCGCATGGCGCGCTTTCAGATGCTCCTCTGCGGCCGTCTGGAACGCTCTTTCTTAGGAAGCCACTGAGAGCTGTGCACTTTTAAATCTCGATTGACAAACTTTGTGATTAGCACGGTTGGCTACGTACGGTGCGAAAGAAGTTCATCATGTATATTCATGTATTTTTAAGCTGCTCAGATCAGTTCCTGAGGAAGCCCCCGGCATGTGGAGTAAAACGTCGGACATGGTCCCGTTCAACACGCGGGCAGTGCAGCCTGAAGACGCATCGTAGAGACGCACATCCGTACAGCACCAGAAATTGCACCACCCCAAAAAATGTCCACCGGGCACCGATATACAAGGGAATAGAATTGAGATTTGTACAATCGTGTCTTAAATGCAACCAGATGCTTCACTGTGGGGGGGATAGAAATCAAATGAAATTATCCGCAAACACAAAGGGAGCCTTAAGTGTTGAAGCGAGAAAGGGCGTCAGGAGCAGCAGCAGCAGCAGTTTGAACCGCGCGAAGTTCAAAGAGGAGGAGGATTCCAGGCAGCAGCGGCCGAGGTGCTCGCGCGTCGTCACCTTGGCGACGGAGAGGCCTTGCCACGGGTCCTTCCCGCCGGTGAACATCTCCCAGAGCAGCACCCCGAAGGTCCACGCGTCGCTCGCGTGGGAGAAGGTCCCGCTCCGCATCGTCTCCGGCGCCCACCTGCCGGCCGGCCCGAGTCCAGCGGGGGGAGGGGTGGCAGCGTCTCACAACCTCGCCACGCTGAGCTCCGCTCGTGCTCGTTGGCCGAGGTCGCTCAATGATGTTAAATATCTGTCATGTGCCCCCCCGGCCCACCCCCCCCCCCCCGCTTTTTTTAATTAACTTTTTTTGTTTTCCTTCTCTACCCTAGGGTAGCGGAGTCCACCACGCTCCCTTTCCCCTAACCCCATGAGCATCCCGCTTCGCGATTTATTGCCAGCCGGAATTTCTGTACTACCCTTCCCCATTTTGACTGCTCACCCTTTGTGCACCGGGCTCTTGTCAAAATGAAATAAAATAAAAACAATTATATGAAAAACTTGTAATTAACACGGCGATGGGCACTGAAGACGCATTACCGCGGGGGCGATTCCACGACTTTCAGATGCCCCGCTCGGTCTCGCCCGGGCGTGCGTCACGGCCGTACGAATCCCATAACGCCTCGTCTCTACCCCGCTCCACGCCTCTCTCGTTGTCAAGTCCCGAGCGACTTCCTCTCATCTTGACGATGGGATGGGGAAAGTGCCGCGGTAACGAGATGTTAACTAGCTCGCCTGGTATGCGGGAGGTCGTGGGTTCCATCCCGCCAACTGACGCCTGCTGCTGCTGTATATTTGGAGTTTGCGGCGTCTCTCTCCCCGTGGTCGTGTGGATTCTTCTCCGGGTCCTCCGGTTTTTCCCTCCACATACAGAATCAACGACATGCGTATTTTGCTGCTATAGATTTCCATGTGACAAGCCACTTCGTTGAGCTATCATTTGTATCCGGGTCGCTTCTGAAAACGAGCTACAAAGCTCAGTGGGGCCTTACCTGGTAAAATAAAAAGTTTAGTTTTATTGGTAGGAGACTAGTTCGCTCCACCCTTTCCCACATGGCCGTGTTGTTCTTCTCCCATAACATTACATCACACCGATTAATTCTAGAGTATGACAGACTAGGTGAGGAAGCGAGAGCCGTTCCCTCGACCGCTACACTCAAAACGTTCTTCACCGCGGGCTCGTCACGAGCGAGCCAAGGCACGTCCACTCCACCCCCACGCAAGCACGTGGGGCGCAGCTGTCTGCGCCGGCCCACTCGCGCAATCTAAAATGATAAACTATTAAACTACGTCTTATTTTACCAGATAAGGACCCACGGAGCTATCTAACTCTTTTTCCAAGGCGACCTGGCCACAAATGACAGCTCAACGAAGTATATTATCACATGCAAATTGATAGAAGCAGCCAAATACTCGGAACGCGTGTTGATTCTAAATGTGGAGAGAAAGAGCGGAGGACCCGGAGAAAAATGTACGCACAAACTCCAAAAATACATAAGGCGTAAGGGTCGGGGATCGAACCAACGACCTCCACCAGGCGAGGTAGTTAAAATATCTCGCTAGCACGGTGCCCAATCGGGTGAAAATCGAGAAGACGAACGACCTTCGCGAAACATCTCTACGCCTTACGGCAACTCGGGGAGGGGGGGGGGGCGAGCGACGACGCACCAACCGTACGGGAGCGGCCGCCGCCGGCCCCACGGCGCCGGGCAGCGCGGTCGGGGCCGCGACGGCGCCTCGGGAACGGCGAGCTTGGCCAGCTCGCCGCCGGATGCCAGGAAGACGCGGCGAGCCGCGGGGAGGCGGTGCACGCAGCCGCGACCCTCCAGGAACGCCAGCGCCGCCGCCACCTGCGCCGCCAGGCGCAGCAGCAGCGGCGGCGGCGGCCTCGCGGGGGGAGGGCGGTTGCACCGGCGTTGGCGCAGGGCGTCCCGAAGCGAGCCGAGGGGCGCCGGCTCGCTCACCTGAAACCGGAGGGAACGCCGCCCGGCCCGGCCGTGCTTTCGTCAGCGCGGCCAAAACTAGCGCCTCCGTGAAACGTCGTGCGGTCCCCTGCGCTCAAGAGATCGTCGCGCGGGGTTCAACTTCACTTCTTCTTGTCGTACGGCCGCTGGTGTAGATGCAGAGTGACGGCTACAATTTCACATTCAGGTGGTCAAGACCAGACATCCGCGTCAGGAGCAGCGGAGTGGAACGCCGTGGGTGATGTCTCCTTCGTATTTGTGGATCAGATATTGCGTCGCCGAAGGCCCTGAGCCAGCGGTGGAAATTCCACATTCAGAATGAAATTCACAGTATCCAGGAATACGTCAATATACGAAGTTGATGCGTTCCTGCAGTTTCGTTCGTATTCCGAAACTTTGTATATCGAATGACTTATAACATTGGTACCGTGAGGATGTGTTCCCAGCCTTCATAACGTAGTTTCATACTTAGAACACTTCATAATTTACCATTCATATAGTAAACAGACAATTTATATTGAAAAAAACATATTTTTTCTACTGTATTATGAAAAACTGACGTAAATAAAAGGAACACAGTGAAGAAATGTATTCTTTTTTATAGTACTGGAGATGGACACATGTATTATTTATTTAGCGATGTAAGTGCTTATTACTTCAATTAATTTTTACCATCAAAATACTGGCAATAAATCCAAACCTTTCGTAGAACGCATATCGAGGTATTACTGTAACCAGGAATACCTAATCCCCATATACCCGTGCGTAAGTGCGTGTTCTTGTAATCCCACCGTCAAACATTACGATTTTTAAAGTTCAGTTTCACCGAGGGTCAAACACGTAATGCGGCTCTATGGCCCACGTGCTCGAATGCCAACGACGCATCCCGGTGGTTGATCATTTGGAATGGAACTGACGAACGCAGCATGGCTTTTGAGAGTTGATCTCTTCTTTGGTGATGCTCCTCTTGGCATCTAAACGTATTTATTTACCCGTGAAAAACCCGACTGAATCGTAAGTCTCGTTCTTCAGAGGGTCCCCGCTTGGGAAATCCGATCGTTTAACACGAGCACATAGGAACGCATATCGGTGAGGGATGGTGAGGGGATGGGACTCACCATGGTGAGGGGCTGCGTGAGCACCACGCCGTAGAAGCGCAGCACGTTGGGGTGTTCGAGCGTGCGCAGCACGTTCACGTGCGCGATGAAGGCCGCGAGGTCGTCCGCGTGCGACACGGCGGAGGGCGGCAGCAGCGTGACGGCCACGCTCGTCTGCACGTGACACATCATCATCGTCATCATCATCGTCATCATCGTCATCATCGTCGTCATCGTCGTCATCGTCGTCGTCGTCAGTCAGTCATCGTTGGTCATGATCTATGCACGGCTGGATGAAGGAATCCTCAAAGTGTCCGACCGAGCCAATTTCGTTGCTCCATCTCTGCGACGGACGTGCGTTCGCACGCGTTACCCCCTTCGCCCGCTACTCCGTTGTTATTCTCGATCGCTGGCCATCATCCCTTCCCGTGGGGGGCACACAGATTCTGGGGGTGAGCACCGGGGCAACCTCACGGGGCAACCTCACGGGGCAACCTCACGGGGCAACCTCACGGGGCAACCTCACGGGGCAACCTCATGGGGCAACCTCACGGGGGCAACCTCATGGGGCAACCTCACGGGGGCAACCTCATGGGGCAACCTCACGGGGGCAACCTCACGGGGCAACCTAACGGGGCAACCTCATGGGGGCAACCTCACGGGGCAACCTCACGGGGCAACCTCACGGGGCAACCTCACCGAGGGTTCTATTGGGCAGGGAGTTCTATTGGCCAGGGAGTTCTATTGGCCAGGGAGTTCTATTGGCCAGGGAGTTCTATTGGCCAGGGGGTTCTATTGGCCAGGGAGTTCTATTGGGCAGGGGGTTCTATTATTGGGCAGGGAGTTCTATTGGCCAGGGAGTTCTATTGGCCAGGGGGTTCTATTGGCCAGGGAGTTCTATTGGCCAGGGGGTTCTATTATTGGGCAGGGAGTTCTATTGGCCAGGGAGTTCTATTGGCCAGGGGGTTCTATTGGCCAGGGAGTTCTATTGGCCAGGGAGTTCTATTGGGCAGGGAGTTCTATTGGGCAGGGAGTTCTATTGGCCAGGGGGTTCTATTGGCCAGGGAGATCTATTGGGCAGGGAGTTCTATTGAGCAAGGAGATTCTATTGGCCAGGGAGTTCTATTGGCCAGGGAGTTCTATTGGCCATCGGGTTCTATTGGGCAGGGAGTTCTATTGGCCAGGGGGTTATATTATTGGGCAGGGAGTCCTACAGGGAACCCACCGGCTTCGCGCCGCCACACCTCCAGCGCCCGGTGATCGGCGCGCCGCCGAGCGCCGGTCCCAGGCGGGGACGCTCCCCGCGGGCCCCGCCCACCACCTCCACGTGCTGCTCGCTGATGATGCACGAGAGGCCCGCGCCGGGGGGCGGTGCCTCACGCTCGCGGCGGCTGGGGGGGACGGCGCCGTTGGTGCCGCCGGCGCTGCGCTCGCGTCCCGGCCGCTCCGGATTCCGGACGATCGGCACCTGCGGCCGCCCGGCGAGCGGTGGTGCCGAGGAGCCATCGCGGGAAATAACCGACCCCGATCCGCCGTCGTAAAGGCTCCGGCTTCCACATCTCACGATCCGGCTTGCCACGTGGGCGAGATCCGGATGGTGCGTATCACGGCCCGGCTGTCGCGCGGGTGACACCTGAGCGTGTGATTTTGACATCTGGCTGCTACAGGCCCGGCACCATCTCCTGGCAGTAACGTCAGCACGGCGCTTGTGCCATGCTGGGTGCACTTTGGGGCCACGCGAAGTGTGTCGAAGGCCCGCTCGAAGGAGGTCACGGAAGAGGCCCAGGTGCCGTGGGATGACCGACTTAGATGACCACCTGTGCTCCCTACTATGCCAACTGCACATGCACGCATACACACAAAGATCTCCCGTATAGACTTAACAGGCACGGCACACGAGGAGGTGGGTGGCCAACACCACGCCCGGCCGCCTTTGTCTCTCTAGTGGCAATGTTTACACACGGCTCCAGTTACTCATTTGAGGCTGAGTCGACCTAGGGGAGGCCCAGAACCGGTTCGGATAATCGTCACCGGTGTTGGTCATGAGCGGGAATCGAACTCGAGTCGCCGGGTTCGTAGCGCAGCGCGCTAGCCGCTACACTACCGCTCCCCACAGACACACAGACACATGCACGCACAGGCTCTACCCACACACACACAGAACCATCAACAAGGGGACGGACGCACGCGCACACACACACCCCAAGCAAAAATAAGAGAGAACGTTTGCTTCCCTCCCTGAAGGCTCCAGGCACAGCAAGAGGCCGGGCGGGTGGGCAGGGCACACGGACAAACTCGCCGTCTGCCTCTGTGTGGGCCTGGCTGCTGCCACAGAACGAGGATGAGGTTTCACTTCAACCGATCGCCTTTCAAAACAAAAGCGTGCCGCCCGCCCGTTCACGATGACAGCGGCAACAACTTAACGCGAGCGATTAGAAATCCTCGACGTACGTGCGTACGTCCAGCCTACGTGCGGTGCAATTTCTGGTGCTGTACGCCTGTGCGTCTCTGCTATGCGTTTTCAGGCTGCACCGCCCGCATGTTAAACGGGACCATGTCCGACGTTTTACTCCACATGCCGGGGTTTCCTCAAGAACTGATCTGAGCAGCTTAAAATATATATAAATATACATGATGAACTTCTTCGCACCGTACGTAGCCAACCGTGCTAATCACAAAGTTTGTCAATCGATATTTAAAAGTGCATAGCTCTCAGTGGCTTCCTAATATCGTAAGGAAGAGCGTTCCAGACGGCCGCAGAAGAGCATCTGAAAGCGCGCCATGCGGTGACCACATTGGATTGCGTGTAACTTGGTCTGCGAGTGTTTTGCAAGACGAGCAATTTTTAAAAAATAAATATTAATTTGATAAACGAGCGAGGGTCTTGCAATACGAGCAGTACGTATACGCTTTGTCTGCCGAGTGTCACGTGATCACAACTGATATATGAGTGCTTTGATATACGAGTGCTTTGGATTACAAACACGTTTCCAGAACGAATTATGCTCGCAATCCAAGGTTTTACTGTATAAATATATGATGAACTTCTTTCGCACCGTACGTAGCCAACCGTTGCTAATCGCAAGTGCGGGGGGGACGGACAAACTAAACGCAAAAAATAGTTCTAGAGAAATGAGTTTTTCAATCTGGATGATTTGCAAGTGCACAGCTCCGTGTGGCTTCCCAAGATCGGAAGGAAGAGCGCTCCAGACGGCCGCAGAAGTGCATCGGAAAGCGCGCGATGCCGTGAGACCGTCTTTGTTCGATGGCCAGACAAAGGCCGCTGCTGCTGCGAGGGTGACCAGAGTTAGCGTGATGTTGTACGCTCCTTGGCGAGATTAGCAAGGTACTATGGGGGGGGGGGGGAGGAGGGGGTGACAGGGAGGTAACCTTCATCCAGCAGTGGAGTGAGCATGGCTGATGATGTCATACACAATGGTTTTAACATCGCACCCCTGCGAACACAATTCTTGAACGGAATGGTGACCCTGAATCGCAACAATTCATTGCACCTCTGTCGGATTGCACATTTAAACACAACTTTTTTTATTTTATTTTATCGGGTAAGGCCTACTGAGCTATATCGCTCTTTTTCATAAGCGACCTGGCCACAAATTATATCTTCAAGTGGGTTATCCAGTGGAAATGTATAGCAGCCAAATGCTCAAAACGCATGTTTCTATATGTGGTGGCGTCGTGCGTCAAGCCGCCAGCCGCCGCTGCTGGCGTGGGGCCATGTCGCTGCGGCGTCGCGTCGTGAACGTCGATCGCCGTGGCACTACGAGGAAGGGGCATCGCGCGCAACGACTGCTGCGGGCGAGAGAAGATGCCCGCTCATCACCTGCAACTAAGGATAGCCGACCGTGCTGAGAGTCCACTCATCAGTAAGCATCACAGCTACTTCAGGTCTGTGGTATCGAGTCCTTATTAATTACACGATGTAACACAATTTTTATTCCTGGGTAGTAAGTGTTATTTCCTAATTGCGTATGTCTTAAAAGTATAGAAAATGGCTATTATTCCCAACAAACTTTGTTTTTGTGACCAGGACAGTGATATTTTGAGATTTACCTATTTTCAATCAGAAAACGGGCAATTTGTGTCTTTTCGTTCACATAAAGTCAGAAAAAAAACCATATGAATCAAAATTAGCATGTACTTATACTAAAGTAATACAAAATTTACTACAATAGATTTAGAAGTGAGTTGTTTTTCGAGATATACGATTAAACTGTAATTCACTTTCACGAATCAGCCCCCAAATGTAGTCTCCCATCATCTTCTCGTTATACTGTTCTTGGTAGTGGCGTTCAAAGTCCAGTATATCCTGGTGGAAGCGCTCACCTTGCTCCGAGTACGCTCCCATGTTTTCCTTGAATGTATCAAGATGAACATCAAGGATATGGACTTTGAGGGAATCCTACAGCCCATTGTGCTGTAGTTCTTCACCAGTCTCAACCAGCTCCACATAGTTGTCGACCTTGTGATTGCCCAGGAAGCCACGAACCACTGCAACAAAGCTGTTCCAAGCCGCTTTCTCCTTACTAGTGAGCTTCTTGGGGAATTCAATGCACTTCAAGATCTTCTTTATCTGTGGTCCGACGAAGACACCGGCTTTGACCCTTGCCTCAGACAGCTTAGGTAAGAAGTCTTGAAGGTACATGAAGGCTGCCAACTCCTTATCTACAGCTCTGACAAATTGTGTTATAAGGTCAAATTAGATGTGCAGTGGTGGCATCAGCACCTTCCGGGGGTCCACCAGTGGCTCCCACTTGACGTTGTTCCTTCCCACAGCGAACTCGGTCCGCTGTGGCCAGTCCCACCTGTGGTAGTGCGCTTTGGTGTCCCTGCTGTCCCAAAGACAGAGTTAGCAGGGAAACTTGGTAAAACCGCCTTGGAGACCCATCAGGAATGCCACCATTTTTAAGTCTCCAATGACCTCCCAGCCGTACTCATCATACTACAAGGCGTCCAGCAAGGTCTTGATGCTGTTGTAATCCTCTTTGAGGTGCACCGAGTGAGCGAGGGGAAGAGACGGGTACTTGTTACCATTATGGAGTAGCACAGCTTTGAGGCTCCTGGATGAGCTGTCAATGAAGAGGCGCCACTCATTCTGGTTACAGGCGATTCCGATTGTCTCGAACAGACTGGTCACATTGTGGCAGAAGCAGAGCCCATCTTGATGGGTGAAGAAGCTGCAAAAAGGTTGTTGACGATTCCTCTGATCTGCGACTAGCACACTTTCATTCAACAAGTTCCACTGCTTAAGCATAGACGTCAAAAGCTCAGCATTGGACTTGGTGAGACCAAGATCTCTGATCAAGTCGTTGAGGTCGTTTTGGTTGGGGTAGTATGGGTTTCTCTCCTCAGCTACACTTCTGAAATTGTCATCTGGATCTACAACGTCTTCCTCGCTCTCTGACTTGCTGCTCTCTTCTAAAGACGGCTGCTCTCTCTCCGGAGGAGTGGTTACAGGGAGCTCATGGCAGTGTGGCATCGGGGCGATGG